GTGTGTGTGTGGGTATGGCGAATCTAATCTTTAATTAAATAAAGACATTTTATGTATTTAATGAAATATCTCATATCTTGTCCCTTGGATGAAGTGGTTGTATTTCTGTATGTGTTGTGTTTTTGTTATCAACATTAACCAGCAGCATATCATAAATCACATGACTCTACAACAACATTACAAATTACAAAAGACAAACATACATATGTTCTCTTCTCCAATAAACTTTCTCCAGTTTCCCATTGTTGGTTTAAGGACTGTGAAACGACGCTTTTCTTGGCAGTTTTGTTGCAGTACCTTCTCCACTAGCTGCTTACTCCAATGAGTCCTGCAATTTTTTTATAAAATTTTGGTTCTGTAAGTACACGGTTAGACAAAAGAAAGGGTTTCTAGCTTTTAGTTGTTTATTTCTTTTTATCTAGAAACAGAGAGGAGATGGTTTTCCAGGTCTTGATTTGTAATCAGGATGGAACTGGGCTGCAGGGAAAAGAATATCACAATCTTCAACAAGTATCGATAGAATCAGCAGCATCAAAACCCTTTGATTCCTCTGTTTTCCAACATTTCCAAAACCCTAAAAACAGAGAGAGAGTATGAGTGTCTTGACACCCAAGCAACCTTTCATAAAACGGAAAACTTCTCATCTTTTAATACCTGGATGACGAATCTCTGTCCAGATAAGCTCTTTCTATGTTCATTGAGTAAAGCTTCTGTTGCAAACAACACTCCTCTTCCTGTAGCAGCATCTCTCCCCAGAGATCCACCAAGATCCTGCTCAAAACGTCGATCATCCTCAGTAATCAAGCGGAACAAGTATCCAGATGTGGTGATTATGGGAAGTGGGTTATGGCATATGCTTCATGTAAACAATGCTTCTGATTTTGGTTTTCAGCTGAGGAGTCATGCAGTGTCTTTAAAGGAGCAACAAGGAAGGAGGAGGTCTCGGTTTGTCCTCGAACCGTTGGGATATATATATAGTTTCGGTTACGTGGTCTAGAAACGTACCACTCTTGGTCTTTGCTTGGAAGCAAGGCTTTCCCTATCCTTTAATAATTTTTAAAACAAATTTGAATCCAAAATTCTAATAATATGTACTTTGCCACACACAAAATAATAATAATCCAAAATACAAGAATACCTCAGTTAAATACATGGCATGTCTTAACGTATCCTTTTATATATGTATATATATATATATATATATGTTTAAACCTGTACCTTATAAAAACTTTAGTTGAAATACTAACGGAAGTTTAAAATAAAAATATCTTATTTTTAAATTTATCTTGAAATTGGTGGGTTAACCCCTTAAAAAGGTTGTGTTTTCCGAAAAAATCTATTTACTAAAGTTTTAACTTCTTCATGTTGACTAAAAAATTGCTAATCACATTATAAATTTTTATTAATATAATTTAAAATTATCTTTATGGTACATGGGAATCATTTCTAATATTTTAGTGAGTAATTTAACAATACTTCATAATCAACATAATTAAGTTGACTAATCCCTATAAAATCTGTAATTTCCGGAGAAAAGTGGTCAAATAAAATCTCAGTCCTTTTAAATTTTCATCACATGTCATTGCATGAAGAAATTATGCATTAAAACAAAATATTACGTTTTTAATCTATCTTACGAAAATATCGAGTTATTTTCCAATAAATGTTTAATATACTAAAGTTTAGCCTCATTAATATTTTTAATGTATGCTAAACATATTTTCATGGTACAAGGGCATCATTTCAGTTTTTAATGTATGCTAAACATATTATAATTGAGTTTTCCGATAAATGCTATTTGTACTTAAGTTGAGCCTCTTTAGTGTTATTTAAATTATCTAATCACATCAAAATTTATAATAATGTATCCTCAATTTATTTTCATGGTAATTGGGTATCAGTTATAAATTTCCTACAAGTAATTTATTAAAACTTTATATTCCACGTAAATTAAGGAAGTAAACACTATGAAATCTCTATATTCTAGAGAAATTGAGACAAGAAAGGTGTCAGATATTGTTGATCTTCATCCTATATATATATAGTGTATGCATCTATGCATTAAAATAAAAATATCTTATTTTTAATGTATCTTGAAATCTGTGGGTTAACTCCAACAAAAATGTTGAGTTTTCCGAAAAATTCTATTTACTAAAGTTTTAACTCTTTCATGCTGACTAAAAAATACCTAATCACGTTATACATTTATATTAATGTAAGTTAAAATTATTTTTATGGTACATTGGAATCATTTCTAATATTTTAGTGAGTAATTTAATAATACTTCATATTCAACCTAATTCAGTGGACTAATCCCTAGAAAATCTGTAATTTCTGGAGAAACATGGTCGAATAAAGTCTCAGATCTCTTTAATTTTCATCACATGTTATTGCATGAAGAAATTATGCATTAAAACAAAATATTACATTTTAAATATATCTTACGAAAATATCGAGTTCTTTTCCAATAAATGTTTAATATACTAATGTTTAGACTCATTTACATTTTTTTAAATACCTAAACACAATCTAAAGCATACTAATGTACGCTAATTATGTTTTTATGGTACATGGACATCATTTCAGTTTTTAATGTATGCTAAACATATCATAATTAAGTTTTCCGATAAATGCTATTTGTACAAAAGTTGAGCCTCTTTATTGTTATTTAAAATATTTAATCACATCAAAAATTTATAATAATGTAT